ACGACAATCCGCCTATCAGAGTCCGAAGACGAGTCAACGATTAGTCTTTGTAAATAGTATCTACTACAATAATTATATATATATTGAGATTCAGAGTATTACATCGACAAGCACTAAGGACGAAGAAGCTACTCTTAAAACGACAGTACGGAATAAATTCCAGTACGCGTCGTCAAGTTTCGCGCCCGCAAAGGGCATCCCACTTCGTAACCCTCACCTTAGTTCAAGTTCGGAAGCTTACGAAAGTAAGCAAAACCCAACGCAAGTGTAGGCAATCCAGTTTCGCGCCACTTGCGATATCTTTCAATCATAAAGCCGCATTCATAACCTCAACCACGCACGTGCTCGTTCAAAAGGTGCTAGTATCGACGAACGAAACTTCGCGCCATTCGCCATTCGTATTCAATAATCAAGCTGCATAGATTATTGTACAGTTGTCTCCGTAACACATCAATTCAATCCAAGAATTTAGTTCTACAAGTAAAAGTTGAAATAAAACCAAACTGAAATAATGAGTATGTATTTGTAATAAATAATCGAATATTATTACGTAAGTAGCATAATGATAAAATTTTAACATACCTTTAAAAATTACTACCGAGTTTAATACTAACGAATCAATACTAAATTTTGAAATATTAAATTAAATATTAACGCTCATTTTACTACACAGATGACTTTAATTAAATAAATAAATTTATTTGCAATCGGTTAATTGTTGTTGCTTTGTATAATATTACTTTTTATTGCATATTAAATATAGATATGAAATATAAGCTTAAAATTTGAATAATCAATAAAGTGTTAATATATAAGTTAGTACTCAATTAATATCAAGTAATACAGAATTATTATTATTAGGAAAATACGTAATGACTTTTGAATAATGAAACATTTTATTGATAATGCTTCACTAAATATATAATGACATGCAAAATCTAGGAAATATTTAAATAAATAATTATCCATAGAAAATTTTATTGTATTTATACCTTCAAAACCTGGAGGTAGATTGGAGATTGTTTAGTAATTATTATTTTTTCAGGTGAGTAGATACAACAGACGCCACATAGAACAAACAAGAATTACAACATTAGATATAAGAAAAATATAAAAATCTTTTTTGTGTTTTTTTAAAACAAAATTTGTTAATGTAAAATGTTATTCTAATTGTATTCAGTAGATTATTATATTATTTACATTATAAATTTATATATTATAGCAATATATTTTGTATCAGTTTCAAATATTAAAAATATAATTTACCTAAGCATTATAATTATTTTTAATATAATGTTAAATAATATAAATTAAGTCCATTAAATTATCGCCATTGTAAAATTTTATTTTGAAAATGGTTAAAACAATTAGTTACTATCACTATTGAATTAAATGTCATTGAAAACGTACAACATAAATTATTGAGAAGACAATATGGACATTTATCAATTATGTGGATATATCATTACTAATATATTATAAATTCCGAAAATACTTGAAAAGACTTCGATTAGTTTACAAGCGAGATATATTTTCATCGTATATTCGACAATATCGTTCTACAATGCGTTTATTACAATCCAATAAATTAAATCAGCATAAAATAGGTACATTTTCATTCGATATTTCTTTCAGGTTATTGTTTAATATTGTCTCAGAAATTGGTCTTAAAACGCAAATTGAATTACTAATTGTTCATAATAAAAGTAATAGAAAAATGAATGATAAGAAATAAAATGTGTGGAATTAAATTACGATAAAAGAAATCTTTCAAGAAAATAAGGACGAAATGAGAAATTAAAGGCAATGCTTTTAAAAATTAAAAAAATATATATTATACAAATAAAAATTTATAAAATATATGCAGTTATAATGTGAAGTTGAAAGTTAAAGCACTAAAAAGTTATATTCGCATATACAGTTACATGATAACAATTGTTTGAAATTCAAAATAATTAATATTTATTCTACAAATGTCACAAATCACTTTTTATCCAGTTAAAAATCATTTAAAAACAAAATCCTAATATGTTAATGAGAATATTTAAAACTGAAAACTCTTTTTATTTAATACTAAATGCATAACTATTTTGTACAATTATAATATAAAATTGTTTATATCGTCTTTCTTTTATTATTTACAATATTAAAAATGAATAATTCAAGTAAAATGATAAATGTTATTAATAATAATTGAATCATTATTACTTCGATTTTTTAATCATTTTTAAATATCAAATAATTTTACAATAAAATTACTTATATTATAAATGGAATAAATATAATTATTTAGAATTTTAGAAATTAAAATATTTTAATAGTCGTAGATAACCATTCAATAATATTTGTTCTTATGGACAATACCCATTAGCTAATTGTTAAATTTTTACTTATAAATAATCAAAAGTAATAGGAAGAATAAAGAGATTATTTAAATAAATTTCTATATTTATTAAAATAATAAATACGTTGTTAAGAATAAGTTTTTGTATCTGTTACGGATTACAGCAGTTTTAAGCGGAATGCAAAGTGGGAGAGGTATGAGCGCGCGAAGCATTGCTTTGTAAACATTGGCCAACGGACTCAAAGCATGCTTCTAGTTGAAAAACTCGAATATACGACTATAATTCCGAGAAGTAATAACAAATGAACCCTACAAAGTTATGCCCTATTGACTTCATGACAAATAGCGGCATAGTAACGCCACCGACGCGCTATCGGCGCATCCAGTTCGTACGAGTATATTGAAGGAGCTGCACGTGCCGAGATTCCTTCTTGCTAGTACCAATCACGCACTCTCCACTTCGGGCTCGATATCCAACCCTGCAATCGCCATTAGGAGGCCATGGCAAGAGCATCAAGCAACCTAAGGAACTTATAGCGATGCCACAACTATACTGGCACCCACGCCTCCGTAAGCAACGCAGACGCTCGTTCCTTACTACTTCTTACTAGTTAACAAGCACCCATAACGACAGGACCGCCAATCTATACTCGCGGTTTACGCCCGCGTGTAAGTAACGCCGACGCTCGTTCTTACGACTACTACTACAGCGGTTCCTGCCAACTCAAGTAAGAGGCGACCAGACGGTCGGTCTTACATCTTACCCTTACACCGCGGTTCCCGCCAGCTCATGTAAGATTCGACCAGACGCGCGTTCTTACATCTCACCTCTACACCGAGGTTTACGCCCACATCGAGCACACGAACGTGCACCAATACCACCACTACATTCGAGCTCACGAACACAAGCAGTGGCGTCACACGGACGTTCTCCCACCATTCCGTACACTACAGCTCACCCCACGCCGGCTGCTAAGACTGCACCAACTTGCTGCCCCTACCACCACGAGTCTCCCACAACTACTCAAGCCACAGGAAGAAGGGGAATCACGCTCCAGGCTATCAAGAATACACGTACAGACTTATCGCCACCAACATTAATGAAGAAACACTCATCTATTCATTCTATCATACACTCATTTAGAAATTTATAGATTATTAACTATTCACTATTTATTATATTTAATAAAAGGAAAGACTATAAACATTATAGGCAGTATTGAATAATTGCATTGCCCCTTCCACTTGCCAGCAAGCCTCCACCCGCCATCATAAGGAGGTTTTAAGTCTGATCTCAGACAGTATCACTTTTCTTCGTTATCCACTTTCATTTTTTTTATTATCTTACTCATTAAAATGGAATTTGTTTTCATAATATCAAAAAGATGTAATATACTTTCGTCATTTTTGAGAATATAGTAACACTATTTGATTATAATAATATAATAAAAATAAATTAAATAAATATATATATACTTCTTAACAATTACAAATTTTGAAATACATTATAAATAATTTTTTAATAATATACAGATTGAAAGATAATCAAGATTTAGTAATTATATATATCCTCTAAATAAATAATTTATTATAGATTTATTATTTACTAATCACCAAATTATGAGAAATTATTAATTTGTGATAATTCTTGATGAAAAAATATATGAAATCAATAATAATATTTCTACTGTTATATTAAATGAAAATAAATAAAATAATGATATTTATTAGATGTAAAATAAAACGATAAATACGTTGGCTTGTATCTGATAGAATTTCTTCAATAATCTAAATGAAGTATCATTCTTTTGTTTTGATTACTTTACTTAAATATATAATCAAGCTTTTTTTTATTTATCGTCAAACCTTTCTTGTTATCTGATTCAATAATAGAAGAGTATTTTTATATATAAAATTCTATTATATATACATGCCACTTAATTAATTTCTGTATGTGTTTAATATTTGAATTTATACATCTCTTATCAGGTGATTCATACTAAATACTAAATTTTAATTTTAAATCGTTTTTTGTTTATTAATTAGTTCATATCAGTTTAATATGGCTTAAAATTAAAAAATTATGATTATTATAAATTCTACACAATTAAGTAAAAATCAAATTACATACAAATTTATACATTATATTTAATTTAATTTATTCTAGTTTTTTGAGATAAATTAAAGCAACTGCATTGATTAGAATGGGGAGTACATATATATTTCACATTATTTTTCTATTAAGACCTTGTATTTAATAATAATTTATTATTTTTTATTTTATAAAATAATTGAAAAATAGCATTATTTTCCAATTATTTAATAAAACGATTATCAGTGATACATGTAAATTCTTGCAACCTTATCTGTGATGGATAATTTAAAAATTTTTAATTTCTAATTGGTGATTTATTATACAGTTCAACTGAAATGTGATCAGTGGTATTCTGGATTTTGACCTCTACATTTCTCACATTATTAAAAAATTGCTTTATTATAAAATTAAATAAACAACTTAGTTATTAACTACTTCTCAAATTATTTATAGTTTGTTAAAAATATTTTGAAATAATAACATTTAAATTAATTAATATTCGAAATATTCGTTCAATCAAATTTTTCAATTAAATATATAAAAAATATTTTTTCAAAATATTTTATATGTGAATTTATAACATATATTAAGATAAAATTATAAATGATTAAAATATTTAATACAATAATATTTACCAGTTCAGAAACTAATGGCACTGATTTTCGTCGTGGGCGGATGTCGGGCATGCTATCAATATTACTGTAAAATGTTATCTCTCCTCCATGTCTATAAATAAAAAATTATATCTTTAAAAACAATATTTGATTTTTAATAAAAATATTACAAAAAGTAACTTGAAACTGTTATCGATATGAATTCCGAACGTAGTAATATAAAATTATGAATTTACAAATCAAATTACATTCTCGGCTTTGATGCTTAGAAAAGATAATAAAGATGATAATTACATGACGTAATAAACTCAATAAACTCAAAGTAAAATTAATAATTTATTTATAGAAAAAGGGTTCAAAAAAATGTATGGAATATAAGAAGTTTAATATATTCTAATACAGCACATGTTTTCCAATTTGATAAATTCTAATAAAGTATATATTTTAATTTTTATCTAAAATAAACAATTCAATTTGTTTTATCAATGATAATATAAGATACAAAAAAGTTTTTATTCCTAATATATATTATCTTTTTACTCTGCATTTACTCAAAGTTCGAGTACCCATATAAGAAAATGAGAAAATAATTATTAATTAAAAGAATATATATTTATTTTATAATTGTTCAAAAATTCTCTATATGTTTTCTCCACAAAAATTCTGCATAAAATTATTCCTTAGCTTAAATATTATAATCAACTCTTCAGAGATCGATTTAATAATTGACAACAATTCTCAAAAGACATAACAGAATAATTATTTAGATAAGCTAGATTATCTACATTAAGTTTTGATTGTATTTTTCAATATGTCAATGTTGTTAGTTATATTTATAATTATATATAATCTGTAATGTCCTCAACAACTCATAATTAAAAAACTTAAAATTAAAATTATAATAAAATTATAACTTACCCATTTCCACGAACACCAGTTTCGCTACCTGTTCCACTTCCATTCTAATCAAAACAAAAAAATTTATGATTAAATATGTACATACTTCATTTTGATGTGCATTCTAAAGTAATTGCAATTGTTTTGTTGTTTAATGTTTATATCTTATACTTGGTAAATTTTTTTTTTAATATTTAAAAAAACTCTTATTATTTTTTTTACTATATGGTACACGAAATTTTCAATATCTTAAATATCATGATGAAAATCCAATCTTTTTATACAATTACATTTATTTATAGACTATTTATTTTTTAGAACAGCTATGCCTTTTATATAAAAAGTCAACAAAATGCTGTAATATATTTTATACGTTTAAAGTAAATCTACATTTATATTTATATGTAGTAAAATAGAAATATAAAGTAAACAGATCTTAAGTTATATGGAAGTAAGTGATCTGGCTTTAAAAAATCTTAAGATTTAATTTGGTATTTAATATTAGTTATATAAATAATTCTTATATTTATATACATACATATATATATATATATATATATAAATCACAGTTAATAATTTTCTGTTGTATTTTATATGAAAGCATTTATATATATAAAATATAACAATTTGCATTATAAAATTTACTAATATATAATAATTAATTATTTTTTTTACAAAAAAAATCAAGAAAATTAGTTGTATTTATTTTAGAATTGAATAATTCTTCGATGAGTCAAGAATTTACATTTAAAATTTCTCGATCATTAATTTTAAAGTAAAAAATAATATTATTAAGTTTATTTAAAAAATTTAACATTAAAAAAAATAATGGCAATTCAGAAAAATATTAACAAAACAGTTAAAGAGTGAAAATAGTAGTCGATTATATTTTATTATATGAGTGCTTTATACCGAAAGTTATATAGCACAAACTACTCTCATGTTATAAATTATAAAATAATTTGAAGTAAAAAATGGTAAAATATCTATAAAGACCTTTTCAAATAAAAAGATATTTTAAAATAATAAATTTACTTTTAGTGTTACAAGTTTGAATAATTTTAAGAATAAAATAAAAATTTTTACAGAATTATCTTGAAATAATATAAACCAAATAAATATGTAAATAATTTCGAATCGCTTAAAAAGAAAAAATATTCGAAATGTAATTTGTTTTATGCACAATATTAATATAAATTAAATTAAATACCTTCATTACGAAGAAAATAATTTAAAATTTATTTAATGAAAATTTGCTGTTTTTAAATATACTAAATTATTATTAGTTTACGTAAATAGATAACTATTTATTTCAGATTAATTTTTATATTAGTGTTATGATATTTTAATATGTATATAATTTTTGTTTTAATTAAACAGAAATCTATTAAAAATACATAATTATGAATTTTTTAATGAAGTAAAATAACTGATTCATTGTATTAGAATTAATAACAAAGTATATAAATGACATTTATAGAAGCAATATGTTCTATTATAGTAATATTTCTCTAATTATTCTCTAAAATTGAAATATACTTTCACTATTATTAAAAAAAGAGAAAAAAAAAGATAAGATAAAATATAAACATTTTAATATTGAACTATATTTCAATTTTTCTTTATTATTTTTAATTGCAGTAATTTACAATAATGTAATAAATAGAAATATAAAAATTAATAAATAGTGTATCACCAATGTATATATATATGAATATATATAATGGGTTTGCTAATTTTATTACATATAAAAAAAAATAAATCTAAGAATTTATGGTATTTTATTTATTTTCTAAAGTTTTTTTTTAATAGGTAATATGAAGAATGACTTATTAACAATATTATAAATAATACTTTATAGTTGTTAATAATAGGCTGAGTTATATCATGTTTTTATTATTATTGTATTATATCTATACGGATCAGGGTATATATTTCTTAATTTAGTTGCAATATATTTTATATTTAAACATACATATTTTTAATAATTAATAAATGAGTTATTAATGTAAATACAATGTATTTTTAATTAAAAATAAAACCAAATAAAAATATTTTATATTAACCACAAATTAAAAAATATTTTTATCATTCAAATACAAAGTATAAAAACATTTGAAGTTTATTTAATTATAATACTCACAACAATTATTCCCTGTGAAAGAGAAGTAGCATCTTTAATTGTTTCATCGACTTCTTTCAATCTTTCTTCAGCTTTTCTTTCTTTCAAAGCTTTTAAAAGTTTCCACTTGGAGTTTGATAGAGATGGACTGCTCTGATGTTCTTCTAATTTAACAGTTAAGTCAGTATCAACTTTTATAGTGGGAAGACTTATAATTGCCATTGTTTCATTTACATTACCACCCTTTCCATTTTCATTTTTAAAAATAAGTCTTCCAGATTCCTCTATACTCTGATTACTAATTAATATCTCACTAGATAGTAGACTTTTGCTGCCTTTATCTGATAATATATCGGATACTCGCTGTAGTTTGTCATTGTATGGAAGAGAAGATTGATACAAATCTTTTTCTAAATCTTGCTGTTCAAATTTTTTTTGAAATTCTTCTTCATCTTCGTCTACAGAATAAACCTGACTGTCAGGTCCAGATGTTTCTCCAGATGATTCTTCATCTATTGTAATAATTTTTTTTCCTTTTTTAACATCCTCTTCATGTACCCACGTCTGATAGTCTGTTACTCTAGCAAAAATACTCTCTACAGATTCTGCACATTTCTTTTTCGGTAGAGGATTTTCATCGTGACAACGATTCATTTTAATAGTCATGGTTATATGTTTATTAGTTGGAATTGCTTTATTAATATTTTCATTAATACCATTTATTCGTTTTGATTTTAATTTCAATTCATTAAGAACATATGACATTCTTTCTTTTACGTCTTCGTCTGGTTGATATGACTCTATTTTTAAAGTTTCTTCTATATGATTATGATTAATATTAGATTCCATTATTGTTTCTGATTGTCTTTCTAATTCTTCTAGATTTCTTAATTCATAACAATACCATTCATCTTCTGAGTCAATTGATTCTTCTGTACTTTGACGCCGAGAAGATACTCTTGACGTACTTCTATATGAATATGTACTTTTATTGTCTTCATCGCCATCGACAGTACGAGATGTTACCCAGGGAATTTCTAGGGACTGTTGATGTCGAGAAATAAGACGATTACTGCTTTGAATATGCCCTTTTATATTTAATGAATTATTATTATCAGGAGATGACATTTCCTCTGATATATCACTTGTTAATTTTAATACTCCAGAACCTTTATTATTACGATTTTTTTCGGATAAATCGTCTGAGCACGTGAAATTCATATCCGATGAATATAATAAATTTTCGTCAAGTTTTCTTTCTTCATCAGTTTGTTGTTCATCAGAAATTGTTGAAGACTGTCTTTGTCGATATTTTCCTAAAGCCCTTGATACAGCAAATTCCATACTTGCACCACCCACAAGTGTTACAGGAAATTTAGATACCTTATCAATTGAAGTTTCATTTAAATTGTGAATAGATTTTTTTATATCTCCAACTGTCGCAAAAATTGATGATGTAATAGAACTAGATGTACTATTTTCTATTAAAGTATTTTTGTCAAAACTTGATATTTTTTCAAAAGATTGATTAATTATTTGTGACTTAGATTGTGTTTGTGGTTCCTCTAACCTATTATCTTCAGTTACTTTTTGTTGAAGGTGTTCCTGATGTTCTTGAATCTGTTTTTGTAATAATTCTTGTTCTTGTTGAAGTATTTGTTTTTTTAAAGCTGCATCGTTTATTAATACTTCTTCAGTATGTATTTGACTAGGAATAATTTGTTGAGATGCTGTTTTTTTCGTATTAGATCTAACTTTTGAAAAAAAAGTTGAATCTTGAGCAGCATCAGAAAGTGTGTAATCTTCATCTTCAGATAAAATAATTTGTTTTCCACTACTCCACTCATTTTCAGATTGTTCTGGATCAGAAAATGACTGTGATTGATGAGTTTTTCGTTTTGCTTTTTGCAAAATTCCTGATACAGTAGACACAAGTATATGTTTTTTCTTCTTACGAGCTAATATTCCTCTTCCATGAACTTTTCCGTCATTTGATAATTGTGTTTCTGCTACAGATTCAAAGGCTACATTTAAATCTTCACCTCTAACATCTCCTGGTAAAGACTGACTTCTGTACCTTTTACTTAAATGTAAATCAGGTAACCAACTACTCATGGAATTCATAGCATTTTTTAACGAGGAACCTCTTCGAATTTTTTTTGGGGACTTAGTTAAATCTATCTCATAATCCTTAATATCTGTTGATATACTAATATAACCTGATTGTGATACAATCACTTTAGAAGGATCGTACAAGACTTCGTGTTCCTTTTCAGTAGAAATATTTTTAGTTAATAAATTTCTTATTGATTCTTCGCCATATATATATTGATGCTCTCTTTTGGATTGCTTTCTTAATACATTACTAATTTGAGAATTTTCTGATGCCAATAAAGATTGATTATAATTATTATTTTCTTTATATGTTCCAAGAAAATCCTGGTTAGCATATGTGTGAAAAGTAGCAGGATTATATGAGACTGGTAGTTCAGTTTGGCGATTTATATTTAAAGAGTGGTTTGATTCTGATATAAATAACCGGTTAATTGTAGATGTACTGTCGTTGGTAACATTTTCATCTATTGTATTTAACCAACTATTATCGTTAGATTCTGTTTTTGAAATACTTGTACTTGTTGGATAGTAAGTTAATGCATCAGTAATATTACCTGTTGGGAACATTGTTTTATATACTGTTTTTTTATTATCATATTCATTTATTGTTTCTGAATATGATATCGTTGGTTCTTGTTTAGCCATATATATTAAAGAGTTTGTAGCAGATGTAGATAATGCATTTTGAGACGTATTACAACAATGCGTATTATTTAATGGTAAAATTGAATGTCTTTTTCTAGAATAATATCCAGGAATTATTATGTCTTTTTCACACATTGATGAAGTATTTATATGTGCATTTGTAATAGTTTCTAATTGATTACTTCCTGCGATAGAATAAATAGATTCTGTATTTCTACACAGAAAATCTAATGTCATTCCTATTGATACTGAGTCAAATTTATGAGTTTCGTACTTATGACTTTCTTGTTTTTGGCACTGTAAAGAAAGCATTTCAGATGAAGTAGGCGGTGTGCAGTTTAAATCCTGATAAACTGATTTAATACAACTGTTATCAAAAGAATTAATAGAACATGTAGATAACGGTATATAGTTACTAGTAATATCAATTGAACTACTAGTTTTTTTCCCTTTTTGCTTTCCATAAATACCGTTACCTTCAGGAATATCATAAAATGGTTCTTTATTAATTTGTAGGCTAACTGCTTTGGAAAATGCAGGTATTGTAGCAATTGCTTCTGAAGATTCAATGCTTGATACAAGAGGTGATCTTGTTTTGTCTATACAATAAGATATTTGCACCTTGGCAATACAATTTTTTGGAGTGCTTAAAGATTTGTCGAGATTATTCCAACTACTCCTTGAAGAAAGACTAGAATCTGACTTAACTGTTATAATATTATTACTTGTTTCGAGTACATGCGTCGGTGAAATTGTAGGAGATTTTGAAGATATAATTAAAGGATTAACATTATTTTTACTGAAAATTTTTTCAGTATTTTCCGAATCATTTTCATTATTAATTAATTGGAAACTTTTATGTACATCTTTTGGCGCGGGTGGAGGTGGACTCTGTGACTGTCTATTTTCTGAGAATTCTAATTTTAAATTTGATTCATTACCAAAGTAACCATCTTGACGTGTTCTAATACTTTGAATATTATAAATATTTTCAACGGAATCTATCGATGCCACTTTATCGATTATCTTATTATAAACTGATGGAGATGTGCATGTTGTGGGTGCTAAACTGTCTGCCATAAGATCAGTTAATTCTTTATTTTCAGCATATCCCTTTGCATACTTTCCTACATCAATAGGTAATTGAAATATAGGTTCCGAGTTTTTATGCAATACTGATGCTATAAAATCTACTCTTGGTGGAATACACGTTGATGAAATAGAATCTACATGGATTCTGGATGCGGAATTTAGTCTTGGTGGCATCGATCGAATAGTAAAATCACCATCAGTCGTTAATCCACCATCCGTACTTACTTTAGAAGCAGACCCCCCTATGGAAACTGGATTTTTAGAATATGACCAATTATCAACATCTATTTCAGCGTGAATTGTATCTAATGATTCTTTTAAATTGCTTACTTCTTCTGGTAATTTAGTTTCAATTCCAGAAGAATAATTTTTTTTATTTGTTTCAGTTTGATGATCATTAACCTGGATAAAATTTTGAGGCTTTTTTAAAAACTTATTTGACAATACATTTAATTCGTGTAATTTTTTTAAAGAAATTTCATTTATAGAACTAAGAGTAGAAACTTGGGCTAAGTCATGTTCACTAATGCATGGGGTATTTCCACGATAAGTTTTATAATCTATTGAGCTAAATATTTCACCTTGATCTTCATCGAGTTCCGTTCGTTTTTGTAAAAATGATTGCGTAATTTCTTCTTGTTTATTGCTTATGGTTTTTTGCTTTATACCTTTAATTTCATTATTTATTAATTCTACTTTACGTTTAAAAATACTTCTTTCTATGTTTTTTTCATTAGATTCATCAATATCCTCAGCTTCTTCCCAAATCATTCCAAGCTGTGAATGAGGTCTCGAAGAGTCTCCACAATTCAAATCTTCACGATAAGCATTATTTAAACTTCGATAAAAAGCCTCATCTGGTGTAGTTATTTCTTCTTCTAACGCTTCTAATGTCTCCAAATATCTAATTTTTTTTTGTACATCTATTGAAGAAGCTACTGACATCTTGAAGTCGGAAGATAAATTATGCATTTTAGCTAATTCCTGC